GTCCCAAGTTCGATTCTGGCCAAGGGCACATGCCTGGGTTGCGGGCTCGATCCCCAATAGGGGGTGTGCAGGAGGCAGCCAATCAATGATTCTCTCTCATCATTGATGTTTCTATCTCTCTCTCCCTCTCCCTTCCTCTCTGAAATCAATAAAGAAATATATATATTTTTAAAAATGGCACGGTCCCTTATAGTGCCTGCCTCCAAAGGGCTGAGTTACCAATAAGGAAACGCAAGAAAGCTATGCAAATCACTACAATGCACAGTAGAGCACAGAGACTTGTACAGGAAGAGATGAGACCGAGTGGTGGGTGAGGATTTCCTCTCGAGAGCCTGTGGTGCTGCTGTCTGGCTCCCGGCCTCTGTCAGTCCTTCCCAGTGCACCTCGGTATTTTCTCTCTAAATACAGGGGGAGGGGGAGGGGGAGAAGTAGGCTTACAGGTGTGAGTATGCAAAACACAGTTTATTCTTGTATTATTAATTATTGCAGTATTTTCTACATGAACAACTGTAAACCTACTTTTGCCTCACCCTGTATTGCAAAATTATGCTTTTCTGCAAATCCATTGGTTTTTCTACAGCATTTCCCCCTTTAATTCTTAAATTCATGCTCATTCTCTGCAAAGATGCTTTAGGTCCCCCTTTTTAAAAAAAAAAAAAAAAGTCAAAACCAACAGTGGAAAGAAAACATAACTGTTGTATGTCTGCTTTGAGTGGTCTTTTTAAACATTTTATCTTTATTGTTGAAAGTATTACATTTGTTTGTTTGTTTTTCCCATTGAACCCCCCCACCCTCCCTTCCCAGGCCTTCACCACTCTATTGTCAGTGTCCATGGGCTATGCATATCTATAATAATAAAAGCATAATATGCTAATTAGACCTTCCAGATGAAGCTGGGGCTACGAGGGAAGCCCGGGTGCCGGGTGCCAGAGGGAAGCTGGTGCCGGCAGCCGGAGGAAGGAAGGCCTACTCTTGCACAAATTGCATTCATCGGGCCTCTAGTATGCATATAATTCCCCAGTTAATCCCATCCCCACCTTCCCTCTGAAATTTGTCAGTCTGTTCCATGCTTCTGTGTCTCTGGATCTATTTGTTCATCAGCTTATTTTATTCATTAGATTCCACATATGAGTGAAATCACATGGTACTTGTCTTTGACTGGCTTATTTCGCTTCCCATAATACTCTCCAGGTCCATCCATGCTGCTGCAAATGGTAAGAGCTCCTTCTTTTTGCTTTGAATGGGCTTGACCTTCCCATTGACCTTCCTTCCTGTGACTTGCATGGATGTGTTTTCAGTGGCATGTCACCCTTCTCTGCCGACCCTGTGACGTGTCTGAGGACCTAAACAGCAGCTCCCTGTCGCAGTTGCCCTTCATCCCCTTGTTTCTGTGTCTGGATATCTCTGAGATCTAGGTAATAAAATTCCTCAAATCACATGTTTTTCTTTTTCTCCTTTCAAAATCTTAAGTTGACTTCAGTCAAGGGCTTGTTCAAGAATAAAGTCCCTTTAATGTTTAGCCACACTTTTTAAAAAAGGTAATCAAGGCTTGTAATTCATGGGAAATCATGTTAGTTTATATGTAGTGGGGGCATCTGAGAGAAATACCCGTCAATGGACATGCTCCCCCCCTTTTCCCTCAGGAACAGAGCCCAGAGGTTGCGCAGGCTCCTCCTAGTGGCCATATCCGCAAGAGGAGGCTGGTGCTGGATCTTGAGAAGCAAAGCTCACCTGGGAGGTCTCATCTCCCTTGACAAATGCAAGGCTGAGACATGGGCACGATATGTAATTCTAGGCAGTCAGGTGTAAGGGGAAGACTCCCGGGAGGTTTTGGAAAGTTTGCTCCGCTCAAAAATGAAGACGTTCCCTGTTCTTGCCTCTGAACATTGTCACCTACACGGAGTGCCAGAAAGCATCATTACCACTCAGCAACCATGAATAGAAACTCACTGAGCTCTTGAGACCACAGAAAAGAGATGTGAGCAAGTCTCGTCCCCGAGTCATTGAATTAACCAACCGCCGACTTCACTACAACCAGACCTGTCATGTGAGATGACAACCGTCTTCAGTGTAGGCCGCTGTGAGATGGGTTTTCTGTGCACTGCCCTGGAGTGCACAGCCTCCTCGGACTATGCCCTGTGCTGGAACACACACACACACACACACACACACACACACACACACACACACGGTGAAGTGACTGTCCATCTCCTCTGCTGCTGCCCTTTACTCTTCTCCCCAGGGCGCTCTTTTCTCCTTTATTACCAGAGACCTTCCTGTTCTTTTAAATCTCCTGTTCATCAAATGTGAAGACGTGTGCAATTGGATCATTGACCCTCACGGAGGAATTGTGTGATGGGAGCAATGGTTGAGGGGGTTTTAGGCATAGCAAACGGTTGAGGAAGCTTTTTATGGAGACTGGAAATCATCCGCTCCTCTTACATGTGAGGCTGGACCTGAGGGCTACGTCTGAATTCATCCTTGGAGGTATTCAGCAGGAGTCTACTTTCCCAGAGGAGAGACTGAATAAAGTTATTTAACCTCTCTCAGTCTCAGAACCCATTGATTCTATCCTTTTTACTGTCCCTTCACCCCCTCAGATACTCATCTCACTACCCAGATGAGACACTATATTAAAATATTTTTCCAGCTTTATCCTATATAATAAAAGCCTAATATGCTGTGTCCAACTGTTCGTTCAACCTTTGGACCAGTCACTATGACATGCACTGACCACCAGGGGGCAGACACTCTGACCAGTAGGTTAGCTTGCTGCTGGGGTCCAGGTGATCGGGACTGAGACAGACCGGACATGCCCTGGAGCCCTCCCACAGTCCCTCTCAGGCCCCAATTGTGCACCAGTGGGGTCCATTGGCCTGGCCTGTGCCCTCTCACAATCCAGGACCCCTTGGGGGATGTCTGTCCGCAGGCCAGGTCAAGGGACCCCACCAGTGCAGGGCCTTTAGATGGGATATAACTGACATAACATTGTGTAAATTGAAAGTGTACAATATGATAGTAAGATAGCATTCCTGTTCCAGATAAGGAAACCAAGGCACCGAGAAGGCAGGTCGCTGACTGAGGTCACATACACTTAGTACCTAGCAGAGGTGGAATGCAGGCCCAGTTGGTCTAGCGCCAGCCTGGCCAGTACAAACCCAGCTTATACCTGGATTAAAAGGAACCTGGTCTGCCTTTTCCTGGTGTAGTTCCAGCATCGACAGCAGTGCTAGGCACTTAGTTGGCATTCAGTAAATATTTGTGGAGCAAATAAATGAACTCAGCACAGTACATGGCCCTTGTTGATTGGTACTTAATAAATGTTACCTATTATTAAGGAGAAGTATTGAAAATGTGGGAATCGGGTAAAAGAAAGGCAGCATGTCTTTTCAGTGTCACATTTTAACATTGTTTAACTGGTCCACCAAAGGATTACTTAATTATGTAGGGAAATGTACCTTTCTTGACTTGTTATCTACTATTAATTACGGAGCCAGACTCTGTGAAGTAATATTTTTATTTTTGTTCACTACAGATGTAGATTATATTTCTGAAATATAAATTATTCCAAAAAAGAACCCCCTCCAGAAAGTTAAGATTTTATCGTCCTTGAGGACATTAAAAAGTATTTTTCTAGCTTAGCAATCTTCTTCCAACAGACTTTCTCCACTGCCTATAAATCTCTTTCTAATTCTCGTTGGAACCAACTTCTCCATCTTGTTGGTTTCCTCAATACTGAGCTTAATGGGACTTTGACATGTCCATTCTATATTTGGAGTTACTTATGTAGCTTTTTGAAACTTGTACCTTAATATTTGCACTACTTTCTAACTTTTTCTGCTGAATCTGAAAGTCATTTTTCACTTTCAATTTAATACAACTCTTATTTACAGAATTCCTGTTACTCGGGGGTCGGGGACGCAAAGCTGGAATAAGCAGCGCTGTGAGGTGTCTGCACGGATTCCCAGACATGCAACTAGCCCCTGGAGCCCCAGCACCATAAAGGCTTTCCAGGAGCCCGTATTAATTCAAGATTCTGATCACATAACTAGAAAAGCGTGTAGGTAGGTGTCTACAAGAGACAATTAACACCCCCCAAAGAAAAATTGTTGAGGCTCTGAATCTTGCTGGAAACACCTGTTTATCAATAACCAGTTATAAAATGGATTATGGAGGGCAACACTCCTTCATAGGTCTTATGGGAGGCGTGGAGGTTGACGTTTTTACAGGTAAACCTGGGCCACAGCGTATGGTGAGACCACCACAATCCCGCCAGGTGTCCCCTTTTTGCTGGAGGGGTGTCTTGCCTTCCATTTGTAAAACACTCAACACCTGTGAAGCGCAATCAACTCCACCCAAGATGGTACTGCTTAAACCTCAGCAGTTAATCCGTGCGGGGCTGTGACTCGTCCTCACTGGCAGCGCGGGGACTCCCAGTGGGCGGAGAAGCCGAGGACACGCCTCTCCCGCGTCGGGTTTGAGGCCCAGAGCCCGAAGCCCCTCCCCTCCGCGCTCACTCCGCCCCCAGCGGGACGGGGCGGGGACTCCGTCTCCCGGGAAACGGGACGCGCAGCTCAACCTGGGTCCGGGCCTCCCGCCGGGCTCACTGCGCGCCGACGCCGGCTGCCCAGTAGCCGCAGGTGGGGACGGGCGGGCGCGCGCTCGGTGGTCACGGGAGGAGTTGGGAGCCTCCAGGGGCGCCTCTGCGGAGGGGTGTCCTCGCCCTCCTGGGGCTGGGCAGGGGCGCGCGGGTAGCCGGCCAGCCCCGCGTCTCCTGGACGTGCCCGATGGCAGCCCCGGGGGTCGCTCGGGAGGCGCGAGGAGAGCGAGAAACCCCGATCCTTCGCCTAACCCCGGGCGCCGGCCTGGAGGCGGCGGGAGTGCTGGAGCTGGAGGAGGAGGAGGAGGAGGAGGAAGAAGAGGAGGAGGCGGCGGCCAGGAGAGCTCGGAGTTTCGCCCAAGACGCGCGGGTGCGCTTCCTCGGCGGCCGCCTGGAGCAGATGCTGGGGCTCCCGGCGGAGAAGTGGCGCCAGCACTTGGAGAGCGAGGACCGCCGGCGGGTCCTGGCGGAGTTTCTGGAGAGCCCCAGCCCCGCCTGCCTGGTGTTCGGCGTCGCTGCCGCGGGGCGGCTCGCGGCCTCCCGGGAGGTGAGGAGCGAGCGGAGGGGACCCGGCCACGCCGTCCGCCCAGCGTAACGGGGACTCGGGCGGGGACAGGCCCGTAGTCCCTGCTTGGGTTTCTGTAGGGGGGGGAGGGGGGGCGGGCAAACTCTCAGGCCCTTTAAAAAGCGTTTTCTAAGTCCGGCCCTGGAGTCGGCAGAACGCCCCAGATGCGCCCACGCTGCCATTAGCGGCTGTAGGTGGTTTCAGGGAGGTCAGCTCCGGAGCCTGCTCCACCCGAAGAAGCGGGACCAGCGGGGCTTCTCCCCGCTGCCTGGGCGTGGGCGCAGGGTGGCTTCGGTGCCAGGTAACTTCCGTGTCATCGCTCCTGGGTCACTCTGGAGCCCCTTCCTTAAAAATGTGTCTGGCAGAACCCCGGTACCTTGACTGCCGTCACCCCACTTCATCCCGGGGAAGAATACGTGGCCCTAAAAAGGAGTGCGGGTCGTCTGCGCAAACGTGGTGTTTACCAACCATGGGAGGCATGGGGGGGCGGGCTTCCTCCTCTCCTCTTCCTTTCTCTTCCCTCCGCCCTCTCCCGCCCCTTCTTAATGTCGACTGCTCGTCCCCTTGAAGGTTAACGTGTCACCTACAAGTACAGCATTGGCTTTAGCATTTTTCAAGTGTGACAAGTTTGCAGCAAGATTTACAATCGTTAGGTCTGACGGTGCCTCAGTGGAATGCAAAATGTTACTATCTTCGTTGGATGTGGTCGTAATAATACTTGGAAAATAGGATCCCAGAGAAGAGAGAGAATAACAGGAACTTGCCTTCGGGTTTTGTGAATTTTGAAATTTTTTGCTTTGCTACTTTTATAATCGTAGCTCATTTAAAAAATGGTCAGTAGACAAGGAGATAGAACACTTAACTCTGGTAGGTATCCGGTTTTGTTTGTTTGGCCAGCGGTCCAGCTACAAGTTAGATTCTGCTTGTTAACATGGACACTACTCCTGGACTTACACTAATGATCTTGTTCCTGTTTCAGATTCCAAGAGATGCAAAACATAAACTCATTTATGTTGCCAAGAAGATTACGGAAAGCACTGGAATAAATGATTTCTTTCAAACGGTTTTATTTGGAGAGATACCGGCCTCATCTCTGGGACATGTAACTGCTTTCCTAGAGGAGGTACTAGAATATCTTTAATATTTGAATCTTTCGATGATCTGAGTGACATTTGGAATTATTCAGGTCCGCTCTGGCTATTTTTTTTTTTTAAGAGAGAGAATGTAGAAGCCAGTGATCTCTAACCAGATGGATGGAGTGTAATAGCTTTTAGACTGTTCCTGCAAGGAACGGAGACTTACTGATGCTCATGTTCCACAGGTGATTTTTGTAGGATCGTATTTTTCCTCTTTCTAAATATTGGAAGTAAATAAAAAGCAGCTTGCATTGAATAGGCCCTTGTACTTAGCTAGAGGTTTTAAACTTTACCTTCAGAGTGGAGACAAACTGACACTTTGGAAAGCATTTTGGAAATCAGTTTTTGATTCTTGTCAGTTTCTAAGTGGTTAAGAGTAATGGAAACAAAGTGTTAGAAATGGCTGCCTCAAAGTCCTCTTCTTCTTCCCTTAACATGAGAGAAATGCCCCTAAACCAATGTTACTGGCATTTTAACGTGTATCAGAACCACCTGGGGATTCCGGTAGAGGCAGGCCGCGTGGGCTGGGATTCTGCATTTCTAACCTGATGCACCGGCTTTGAGGAACAACGTATTTGTACCCAGTGACTGGTCGTGGAATCAGAGCAGGGGTTTTCAAGCTTTGCTGAACATTAGAATCACCTGGGGAACTCAACACCATCCCCCACCCGGGGCACACCTCAAACAAATTACAATCAGCGCCAGGCCCCCACCAGAATCCCCAGGTGATGCTCTTGTGCCCCAGACATTGGGAACTGCTGGGTTAGGTGTTAGTAAATCAGATCTCAGTCAGCGCAGCCCTGCCATTGGGGCTTGAGAAGGTTAATTTACTCTCCCTCCTTGCGATTCAAGAAGATTTTTTTCATTAATCTATCTGCCAATATGCTCAGTTTGCATTAAGAAAGCAGTTTCCTTACTTGACGTGACTTCGCTTATTTCATGCAGCGTTTGAGTTATTGAGAGCTTCCACCGATGTTTGATAAATGGGCAAATGAATGAACAAGCAGTCAGTTCTGCCTCTGAAATAATTTGTCTCATCGATGAATTCTAAATGGGTCTGATTTTGTCTTTTTTTGTAGATTTGATATCATAGGAACATATTTATGAAATGAAGTGGTTTTGTTGCCCATTTTGTATGACAAGAAAATCTTTAAAGGAGCACCTTGTATGTAAATTAATTTAACTGCTTTTAAACGTGTTTTTCTTTCTAGATTTTAGTGCCCATTCTTTCAAATAGGAACAACCATAAATCCTGGTCCTGTTTTATTTCACAAGACATGGAACATCATGTAGAAGTCATGAAACATAAAATGCATATTTTAAGGGGTAAAATGTTGAGAAGAACTTTTCTACCAATTCCGACTATTGCAGGAAAATTTGACTTGGATCCGAAACCTCCAGGGACCCAGTACGTAATGACATGGTATATTCAGGGTATTAAAATGAGAGCCAACATACCCATTTGATATCAGACCTCCGGCAAATTGTTAGCAAAATTGACAATTATAACTACATCATGTTTTAAAAATAATGTTATGCCGAAGCACTGTATGAATTATTTCCTTTTAAAGTATAGTTTAAAAAGCAAGCTACAAAAGGCAAGCTGTAACAGTTGCCATGATGTCAAGAATATTCTTTCAGTAAAATGGTTTAGAGGCTATAACTTTTTTTGCCTAACAGTGTGTTTTTTAAAAAATATGTTTTCATTGATTTTTAGAGAGAGAGGGAGGGAGAGTGATAGAGAGAAACGTTGATGAGAGAGAAACATCATCAATTGGTTGCTTCCTGCACACCCTCTACTGGGGATGGAGCCTGCAACCCGGGCATGTGCCCTGACTGGGAATTGAACCAGTGACCTCTTGGTTCGATGCTCAACCACTGAGCCACTCCGGCCGGGCAACAATGTTTTTTAATGTTAGAGAGATACGAATGACAACAGTGTCACAACTCACACTGAGGTCAGAAAAATAATGGATCTGATTTTGAAGTATTTCTATTTAGAAACCAGTTTATGGGCACATAAACTACCTGTTACAACCCAAGCCCTATCTTTATTTGGATGACATGATTTGACTTGTTTTATCAATCCTATCAATGTTTGTAGTTTGGAGCCAAATGAAAGGACAGTGCTCCATGCCATTGAATCAGTGGTCATTAAATGGTCACATCAAATCCAAGAAATTATAGAGAAAGATTCAGGGCAGCCCCTACTGAATGGTCTTCACTCGAATCCTCAAACGGAACTGGATTTCTGGACGATGAGGAAAGAGAATCTATCATGCATTTATGATCAAGTAAGTAGAGATCCCTAGAAAGTGCTTCTGACTTGAATTCGAAGAATGTTTGTAGCATTTGGTCTTTGGAGCAGTGATTTCCAATAATTCTAAAAATTTAACCTACTGCCTTTGAATGACTGAATAATTTGGTCTCTTTTTCCGAAGTGCTTTTTGGTGCGCACTATAAAAACAAATGGGGGTTAGCGTGAGTTTTGCCCTTTTTGAGAATATTTGGACAGCGTTGGAGATAACTGGAAGCATTTGGTGGCACAGAAAAGGAGAGATTTCCCAGGGAAACTTGGAAGATGATGAGATTTAATTAATCTAGTCAATTTAATTGATTTGGGAAGGAATGTGGTCTTAGTGGAGAGACGCTGCTTTGGGAGAGCTAACTTTGGTTCCTCTGCTGGGTGCTTTCCTGACAAGTTACTCCATTTAATGCTCTAAAACTAAGGCATTTATTCTTATGTTTCAGGTCTCTTAGAGATTTCCTGAAACAGAGCAAGAAATTTTATGTGGAAACTAGAGGCCCGGTGCATGGATTTGTGCACCGGTGGGGTCCCTCAGCCTGGCCTATGCCCTCTCGCAATCCGGGACCCTTGGGGGATGTCGGAGAGATGGTTTTGGCTCGATCCCCACAGGCCAGGCTGAGGGACCCCACTGGTGCACAAATCCGTGCACCGGGCCTCAAGTATGCATATAAGATTTTTGGTTAATCTCCCCGCCCTGCCCGCTTTCCCCCTCCCTCTGAGATTCATCAGTCTATTCCATGTTTCCATGCCTGTGGTTTCTGCTCATGTGTTGACCGTCTGTCCCCTGGTGGTCAGTGCGTGTCATAGCTGTCTGCTGGTCAGCCGGTATCTTAGGCTTTTACTAGTATATATACAGATTTTAATATTTTACCTGTGTACTAATATGTAAATTATTTTTTTAAAATTCAAGTTAAGAAAGCCAAGACAAAAATGTTATTTTAAAAATTACTTTTGACTTGAAACCAGATATGTCTTTGAGGGTTAAATGCTGTGTGTATTGTTTATGAGTGGAATATAATTTAAATATTTTATTATGGAATGCATTTATTTAGTCATTAATCTAGCTTATATTTGTTATTTTTTTTTCCAATTTAGCTTCAGGCTCCTACTGTCCTCAAAATGGTGAAGATCCTGAAAACGAAACGAAGCAGCTATTTCCCAGCTCTGAAGGACATTTTCACGGCTGTGAAAAATGGTAAGACGCTTGTTCCTTGGCCTCGCGAGCCCCTCATGACCTGGTGCTGCCTGCTGGCTCGCCAGACTTGGACCAGTAGCCTGCTCATGAAATGATGGTACTTGGCTCTTCTAATGATAATTCATCTTTAAAAAGAAAAGTTTTATTGATCTTAGGGAGAGGGGAAGGGAGGGAGAGAGAGATAGAAACATCGATAAGAGAAATATCAACATTGATTGACTGCCTCCTGAACACCCCCCACCAGGATCGAGCCCACAGCCTGGGCATGTGCCCTGACTGGGAATTGAACCAGTGACCTCTTGTTGGATGGGACAATGCTCAACCACTGAGCCACACCGGCTGGACGATAAATTCATCTGAATCTTCTTTATTTCCTCTTTTATTGATACTAAATTTTTAGGGTCTATAGTAGGTACCTACCAGAGTGGCTCCAGGTGGAAGTTGTAATGAGAATGTGTATACGTATGTGAAGGGGAAAGGCCTTTGGTAGTCAGCAGGGAATAAATCAAAGCCCAGCATAGGGATTTTCTAATCAACAGTTGGGTTACAATTACTCCAGTTATTTGCTAGTAGACTCTCTGAGTGTGTTTCGCATGTACCACCTACTGAGCTTGTAAGAACTCAAAGTCGTCATCAAAGTTTTAGTGAAGATTAAACATACAGAGAGGAGGGTTTGGTTGGTTGGTGAATTTTGAACAGGTAATGCATGCACATTGTTAAAACCCAGTAATTACAAGAAGGGATCCACTGAAAAGTCTCCTTGTCCTCTCACTATCCAGTTGTTATTTTTATCCTCACCGAGGATATGCTTATTGATTATAGAGAGAGGGAAGGGAGTGAGAGAGAGCAAGAGCGGTGTGAGAGAGAACATCAATTGGTTGCCTTCGTATGTGCCCAACCAGAGATCAAACCTGCAACCTAGGTATGTGCTCTGACCGGGAATCAAACCTGCAACCTTTTGGTGTATAGGAGCCACACCAGCCAGGGCTCGCGCCCTCCCCAGTTTCTGTATTTCTGTTTATGTTTTCTTAGGCATGTTTAAGCAAATGTAAATAGACATAATACTGAAGTTTTAAGTGATAAAAGTATAAGATAATATGGACAAATACTATTTGTTATTAACATTAGAAAATTTATTTTTTTCTTAAGTAACATGTGGAAGGTTAGGAATACTTGAAATCTACTTTGGAAATTTTTAGGGCTTTCTCCATGAATTCTATTTGAAAAGAGGCAATAGATGACAGGGATATTTGGGCTTGGGGGGAGGACGGGGTCTGTCAGATCTGGATTCCTGTCCAATATTAAGTTTGCTGAGCTTCTGGCTTTCATTGGACAAACTGGCATATTGACACTTTCCTTGCAGAATTATTGGGAGAATCAGAGCAAGTTATATTACATTATGATTAATAATATAGTAGAAAATTTCCCAGTCATTGCCTGAGTTAGGCTCATAGGACGCTGGGATGAGGCCATAGATGATTAAATTGTTAGTCCAAGTACCTAGGAGGAATTAGCATTCTAGTGATGAAGCTAGTAATCCAAATCATAAAGTGACAACTTCACAGAGATGTTTTATGCCCACAGTTTCCATGAAGTTAAGTCCATTTCCTTAGACTCTCAGGGTTCTTGCCCACTGAATCTGCCGACACAATTTACTTGTGCTGTGTGAGTAGCTACCCCAGGGCTCTCCTCAATGGTGGTCCCCGATGGACGGGGTAGACAGGCTTCCACACCTGTCCTGTGTCAATTGTGGGATCAGTGATCTGGAAGGAACTAGGACCCCATTCAAGTCCAGCCATGTTGTTCTGTATCGTCCTCTTGAACTTGTGAGGTTAGAAGTGACAGCGGCTTTCTTCCTCCAGCTCTCCTCGAAGCCCAGGACGTGGCGCTCTACCTGAGACCGCTGCGGAGGCACATTCAGCGTCTCCAGGAGACGGAGTTCCCACAGACCCGTGGTCTGATTGCCCCGTTATTTCATACCATCTGCCTGATCTGGAGTCATTCCGCGTTTTACAACACCCCTGCTCGGGTCATAGTTTTGTTGCAAGAGTTTTGTAATCTCTTCATCGATCAGGTACGTAGCATTGAAAATAGGAGAGAGAGGAATGATTGCCATGTGGTAGGTTTTGTTAGGCCAGTGAAGAATGAATTAACCCAGTCTGCAGTCAGAATACTGTTTTTCTCTTTCTTTCTATAGAAAGGACTTTTATGGTTAAGGGTCAGGTGACTTTTCATCCTCAGCAGCAAAGGAGCTCTGGACATAACTCAAATACTTTCAAAGGCCAGGTTGTTAATGAATTTTGTTTGTTTAATATCACCATTTCTTCAAAGAGATTTAAGGCTACTTCTAATAAAAGGCAGCTATACATAGTGCTGTGTAGCTTTTTCTTGGGTTTCCTCAGGAACACTGGCTGGCGGAGGACTTTTAGAAAGTAAAGTAAGTGAAGAGAATCTGGCTGGAAAAAAATTATCCTCGCCCTAACTGGTTTGGCTCAGTGGATAGAGTGTCGGCCTGCGGACTGAAAGGTCCCACGTTCGATTCCAGTCAAGGGCATGTACCTTGGTTGTGGGCACATCCCCAGTAGGAGGTGTGCAGGAGGCAGCTGATCGATGTTTCTCTCTCATCGATGTTTCTAACTATCCCTCTCCCTTCCTCTTTGTAAAAAGTAAATAAAATACATTAAAAAAATTACCCTCAAAAAATAGTAGTGGAATTGTATTAATGGAATTCTGATTAATTGTGGAGCTTTAAAAATCTCTTGTTTACAATTGCTTCTCTACTCTTAAGTCAACTTGAAAAATGTTAGGAAAAATGGACTGCTTCTGCATCCTTTCTGTGTAAACATTGATTCTTCTTGTGTCCCTGGTATCAGAGGATGTTATGTAATTTGAGAGCTGCAAGATACTTGGAGGGCCTAGAACGTGGTGGTTCTTGGTGGGAGTGTGTGTCTTAGTCTGCTTGAGCTACCAGAAAAAAATGGCATAGACCAGATGGCTTTATTTTCAGAAATTGTTTACTCACAATTCTGGAGGCCGGGAGCCAGATGAAGGTGCCCGCATGGGCATGTTCCGGTGAGAGCTCTCTTCCTGGCTTGCAGACAGCTGCCTTCTCTCCGTGTCCTCACATGGTGGAAAGAGACCGTTTGCTCTCTTCTTCTTATACAGCTACTGTCCTATCAGATTCGGGTCCCACCCATCTGACCTCATTTAATTACCTTAATTACTTCTTAAAGACCTTGTCTCCAGGTACAGTCATATTGGTGGTTAGGGAGGGCTTCAACATGTGAATTTTGGGGGACACAATTTAGTCCACAGCAGGGCATGTGTCTGAACCAAATGCCAAAGAATCAGGATCTGTGTATATGGCTTAGCCTTTGAGTTAAGAAGTATTCCCACCAAAATTGGATCTCCTTCAGCTGCAACGGACAAACTAGAGTAAAAAACAACAACAAAAAGTGTAGAAGTTTATGTGACCCTGAAACGTCTAAGAGTGCAGTGACTTCAGAAATAGCCTGTCCCAAGAGGCCGCCTGATCATTTCAGAGCTTCCTGCCAGGCTCCAGTTTGCTGGCTTGTGTTTGACTTTATTCGCAGACTCTCACCACAGGTTAAGTGCGGTGGTTTGTGGTCGCCCCAGGTGTGTGTCCTGGCAGTAGAGGAACTTCATGGGAAAGAGGCTGTCTTCCTTTTTAGTTCTGGTTCGTGTGTTTTATTTCTGTTCCCGGAACAGTCTTTGTGGCCAAGGAGGTAGGCTCTTTTGGAAAGGCCTGGATTGTTTGCCAGAGGAGTGTGGGTACCTGTGATTGACTCTAAGTCACTGCTCTAGGCTCACGCTTCCCGGTGGTTTTCACTTCTAGCTCATATAGAAAATTAAAATTTTTTCTTTGTGGACGGGGACAAATTGGAAGGTATTTAGAGCCTGGAAAGTCTGCTCGTAGTCAAGACAAACAGCTTGGAGCTTCTGCTGCCCCAGGCACCGGAAGTTTGCCTTCCTAAGTAATGAAGAGAACAATGTTGTAGGATAAACTGGTTGGGGAACTGTGTTCCCATCCAGCCCCTGGCTCTGTGTGTGTGTGTGTGTGTGTGTGTCTGTGTGTATTTTTAGATGAATTAACTTAGACCTGAAAGATAACATCATTTGCTCAATCTCTCCCAGAATGTAGGGGGAAATCCAGAGTAGAGAACAGGTGTCCTGACATGCAGTTAAGAGTTTCTGGTCTATGACACTGAGTTATTAATAGGCTTATTATTTTCTCTCCGCTTCTTCAGAGGTGGAGTGATATATGGAAAGTATGTTGGACGCAGACCAAGGTAGATTCAAATCTAATTGAACCACTGAAGGGAAGTTAAATTACTTCCCTGAACCTCGGTTTCCACATCAATAACTGCAGATAATGCCTAGCCCATGGCTATTGTAAGGATCAAATGGGATAACCTAAGTGAAATGTCCAGTGTGGCATTTAATAGAAGCTCATAGAAGTTGGCTCCAAACCTTTGACTCACAGATAATTGAAGCTATTGATAGGAGATAGCAGGTCAGCTCCTCGTATATTTTATCTCTGGCTGTATTCTATTTCTCTTTCTCTGTTATGCGAGCTCAGTTTTTGCTCTGTTGTTAAGCAAGATCTCTATTGCAGGGTCAGTGACCATAACCACCGCTTCTCTGGAACCCTGAATCCTCACCTCATTTTGAGACCCTGTCCTGTTTGTGTATAAATCCCAAAGGTGGTCATTCATTGTTGTCTGTGGCTTGTAAGAAATCCCAGTTACCTATAGATCTGTAAACCTGTTATCCCTGGTCCCTAGTCTGTGTCGATGACCAGAGTTTGCCAGACTCCCAGAGAAATAATGTAGCTTCTCTAGTTCCTTAGTTACTGTTCCTGACTTCTGTCCAAAGGTTCTGTTGACCTGATTCTTGATTCTTCAAGTGGACTTTGTAGTAAATCTGCCCCAACATGTTAGGAATCAAAAATCAGCAATGAGCCAACTTTCATATCTAGGTTCCCTGAAGAGCTAAACTCTCCTGCCTGCTCACAAGTTGTTTGCTGTCCTCCGATTTTATTTTATTTTTAAAATATTTAACAAATATTGTATAACACCTGTTATTTGCCAGGAACTCTTTTAAAACCTTTACAGAAATTCACTGTCAAAGGTGCTAGTAGATCCATTTTACATTTAAACAGTAACAACAGCAACCCCTAAAAACCCCTGCTGTCCAGAGAAGATAAATAACTTTCTCAAGATCACCCAACTGTAAGTGATGGAGTTCTTAATTCATTATGCTTTGCTCCATATTTTAAAATAAATTTTGATTTTTAATTACAACATAATATGTGGTGTACTAATAATAGTGAAATTCTCATTTCATAAAATGTGTAACAATAGAAATAGTACTGTTCTATCAGCCTAAAACTTAGCATTTTTGATTTTTCTTTTCCCCCAAACTTATATATTTAAGTATTTTATCATACATATAATTTTACTTTTACTAGCTTCTTCAAAAATGATTTAAAAATATTTTTATTGATTTCAGAGAGGAAGGGAGAGGAAAAGAAAGATAGAAACATCAATGATGAAAGAGAATCATTGATTGCTGCCTCCTGCACGCCCCCAACCACAGATCGAGCCCACAACCCGGGCATGTACCCTGACTTGGAAATTGAACCATGACCTCCTGGTTCAGAGGTTGATGCTTAACCATTGAGTCACACTGGCCTGGCTGGCTTGTGTATTTGTTTATATGAAAAAAAAACAGTCATGTAGAGTATTTGCTGGCAGGAATACCTATGCAAATTCTGATTACACAGTTGTCATATCCATGAAGCTTAGCAGTTATTGCTAGAATGTATAAATCAAGAAATGTTAATCATCTGTAGATTATTCTAACGTATGTTATTGCAACCCAAATGCCTGAATTTCTAGAATTTATACTTTCTGTTTCACAGCATTGCTGGCCCAATTCATTGTCATTGAAAACTAACTCATTGAAAAAAATTTTAAATACAAAATAAAATAAAATGATTTATTGAAACAGATGTTTTCAGTAAAAAACTGTTGAACATATTTTTGATCATTGTTTCCTTTCATGAAATCCTAGGCGACAGCCTACCTTTCACCTGAAGACCTTTTGAAAGGAGAAGTTGAAGACTCCCTGGAAAAGGTGCAGGTGGCCATTCACATCTTAAAGACTTTCAAAAGTTCTTTTTACAACTACAGAGGAGGACTGGGAAACTATTTCATGGGAAACAAGGAGGTGAAGCCATGGGATTTCCAGTCTCAGCTGGTGTTTTGTAGATTTGACAAATTTCTGGACCGTTGCATGAAAATAGAGGTATTCATTTCGTGACTTGTTATTTATTCATGTTGTAGATGGCTTCTAAAATCCTGTAGCTTTTTATATGATTTGGGAGAAGTTTATTTGGTGGGAGGTGGGAGGTTTCCGTTCTTAATGTTCTCAAGAGGAGCTCACAAGACCAGGGCTATAAAGATAGATTTAAAAGCTTTACTTTGACTTCTTTAAAAAAAATCGTTTTTGATTCTTTTATTACACTGGGAGTAAGTGAATCTTTTTCTGTACCAGTGCCCCTTTACTTACTAAGCTCCTGGAAGACAGTTGTAAATCAGGAAGCTGTAAACTAATCCCCCTTTTTAAAAATACGTTTAATGTTTGATATAGGGATTCCATACTTGAAAACCATTTGATAATCTAAAATAATCGCACTATTAGTATGACTGTATGTATACGATGCTATTAAAACATGAATAACCGTTCATAAAACTAAACAAAAAACCCATGAAAATAACTAAAAGCCAAATGAAATGAATACACACACTTGTATACACATTCACACACGTGTAGTATGGAGCCAACTGGCTAAGGTTTCATTTTAAAGTTGGAACTAGTGGCACTACCTTATTTTCTTTGTAAAGCTCTTCCTAGCAAGTTTGGGCTTTTTTGTTGTTGTAAGATTTGTTGAATTTGATTGAAAATTAAAGCTTCATGTTTTGAAAACTCTCTATCACATAATCAGCCTGAATGCCTCTTAAAGTGTGAAGGCTAAAGGCCTAACTCTGGGCAGCGTGAGTCTCCCTTTCATAATGTTCCCTGAAGCTGACTGAGAGACAGCTCATTCATTGCAAAGGGTGGGTGGCTGCAAGTACGAGTTTTGGATATTACCTGGGGGTCAGAATCATTATTAAAATGCTATAAAGTTAGAGTCATATGTTTAGCCATGGTACGCTAGGTTTGCCTATACAGTAAGTAGGAAAACAGTATGATTTAAAAAATGAGCAGTGACTTTGTTCACCTAAATCATTCCTATTTATCTTCTGTCATGTCAAGTGTCCATAACTCGCAGATTTTGAATGCTTGAAAATATTCTTTGAAACTTTAAGATGTTCTTTTTTCCTGCTCAGGGTGGTGGAAAGATCTTTACTGTTCTGTGTTTTGTTTTTTTCCCCAAAGGATATATTTGTCACCATATTGGAATTTGAAAAGCTGGAGAGACTTGAATTTGGTGGTACCAAGGGAGCCATTCTGAATGGACAAATCCATGAGATGAGTGAAGAATTTATGGAACTCTGTAAAATTTTTAAACAGAGCACTTATGACCCATCCGATTTCAATAACACGGTAATATTGTACCTTTGCATTTTTATTTTTTAGAATCCTATCATGTTGAAGTTGGAAATGATTTGGCTGAAATGACCGTAGGTCACAGTAATAATAGGTACCATCCGGTCCGGCCTGTCTGGGATGAAAGAGGTTAAAGGACTTGCCCGCAGTCTCGAACAGGGACCAGGACGTAGCCCTGTGTGTTTCCGTTTAGAACTGTTTCAAACATAGCAGGAGACCTCAGCCTGGGCTTGTTTCTTGGTGGTGCATCTCTACTTACATATTTAATGACATCTCAAAGTAAACAAACTCGTGAAACCAAGCCCCTGCTTTACTGCTCCCAAACCTCTTTCCCGCCTTCTCCCACTCATGAAGTGGCACATATAATGGGCTACTTAGTGCGTAGCCTTGGGGTCATCCATGATCCTGCTCTTTCTCTCGTGCCGAGCATCAGGCTCGGTCAGATAGAAGCTGGACATATCCCCAGATCTCATCTCTGGCCTGGATGATGACACTCGCCCCTGAACTGCTCTCTCATCCCCTGTCTTGGCATCATTAGGGTTGGTTTTCACTCAGCAGCTTGAGTGAGTGCCTTTTAGGAGCTAAGTCCAACCATAGCATTTCTCTAAAACTATTAATTTCCTATGTCACTAATAAGAGGCAGTTTTGCAGTTCAGAATATAGAAAAACTTCATAATGATTCTTGAGTAATACCAGCATATCACTTATTCTTTAATAAATAATTCTTTAATAAATATTTATTGCAAAACAGCCATGTGCTGGGAGCCTCTTTAAATATTGGTGCTATAATTGAGAAAACAAACAAACAAACCTGGCCATTGTACTCAGAGAGTTTAGAATGCAGGGAGGAGGACACAGGCAATTACGCGGAGTGCTGCGAGAGAGCCTCTTCCCAGAGCAGGTGAAAGGAAGCAGAAAGTACACAATGGTAAATAGAACTGAAAAGTAAATAGAAATGAAAGGGGCGAAGAGTGGGCGGGAAGAAAGGGGTTAGCAGAACATCGTGTTACTCAGAGTGGGAGCGTGGCTAGATCCTGGAGTGCGAAAGGTGAGAGGCGCTGGGAGAACAGGGTATAAATGAGAAGGGAAGGGCCTTGTGGATGACAAGACTTGGGGACGTTATCTGAAGAAATCCAGGGTCCCGAATTACGATGATGAATTGGAGGATTATGACGGGAAGAGTGACATGATCAGGCTTCCATTTTAGAAAGCTTGTGTAGACTGCAGTTTGGAGAGCGATTCGGTGAGACAAGACCAGAGGCAAAGAACGTGGTTAGAAAGTGGTTAACAGAAACCGGATGAGCGGTCATTGTGATCCGGGCCAGGGTGATGCCCACAGACAGGGAGAAGAGTGGGCATATTCCAGAGGTGGCTCAGAGAAAAGCCTCGTAGCACTTGACCAAGAGAGAAAGAAGTCAGAGAGATTGCCTACAGTCCTGTTAGGCGGATGCCAAAGAAGAGCTGCTTTGGAGAGAGGTGCGTGAGTTTAGATGCATGCGACAGAAGTCTGAATGATCTGGGGGACCCCCCAGGGGAGGGGTGCGATGGGCCATCTGACTTTGGGCTGAGAGAGTGAGGGGGAGAAAGCCTGGGAGGGAGGGAGAGAGATCCAGGGTGAGATTAGCCTTTTTCCCTTCCTGAGATATTACTTACAAAGTGTTCAAACCATGTTTGAGGATCTTGAGCTGCATGTTCCTCGTTGCCATACCGAGAAGAGGGATTCGCTAGGCTTGTCACAACTTGCTGGGAAGTTGTGTTTACCTGTAGAAGTCAGTGACCCTTGAATGCAGAGACTGTTGGGCTGTAACTGAGGAGAGCTGGAGACTCTCGGTGCTACATACAACAGTGCGGTCTGTGACAGTGCCCTGGACGCTGCCGTTACACCCGTGTTCAGCGCGTGTTCCATTCCCAGAAGGTGCTTTCCTTCATGGAAACATCGTGGTCAGGGTGTGGGCTCCGGAACGAGGTTGCCAGGCTTTAAATTCCGGTCCCGCCATCTACCAGTGGTGTGACTGTGGACGAATTATGTAACTCCTCTGAGTTTGTTTTGTTGCCTATAAAATGGGAAAAAAATAGTGCCCACATCATATGTTGTGAGACCTGAGTTAATAGTGTAAAGCATTTAGAACAGAAAACCGAGTCCTTGTTAGCCTCATCATCATTATTTCTGTTACTGTGAATAGATGGAGGGTCAGTTTCCGGAGGCAGCAAAGACTTCACCGTGGTAAATGTGGGGCGGGCGCTAGGGGGCAGCAAGGCCGGGGAGCCAAGGTGTCTGGCTTTCTGGGGCCGCTCCAGTGCTGTGCCGAGGACGGTGCTGTGCCGAGGACGGTCATCCTCTCATGCTCTCACTGCGAGAGTGGGTGGTTCTGTATTGGGAGGACGCTGGGGGTTGCTAACTGCATAGTGAGAAGGTGCGGAGAAATGCAAGGGTGTTTTGTGTTTCATCTTTCTCACGAATGACAGTTCTCACCTGAAGACACAGTGTCTCCCGGGAGGGTTTCTGCTCCATGAAAAACAAAACGAAAAAGCTTTGTGTTGAAATGCATAGATTTACTGAGGTTACAGTGAACATGCGTTCTGTTTTCTCTTCTGGAAAGCTTTGCTTTTTCATTGACAATCCAAGTGGATTGGGAGGCGGACAGGCTGGTAGGCCCGAGCACTGAGGTGGGGTCTGCATTGTGGAAAGATGGGCTGACGGTGCTGAGTGTTGAGTGTTCCTGGAAGGCAGCCACGGAGCAGTTGGTCCGATATAGGTCTTTCTTGGTCTTTCTTGGTCTGCCCTGGGATCCTGCTATGAAAATAAATTCACCCAGAAAGAGCAGGCAGACAGGAGGGAGGTGGATTATGCTTGGAGGATTGCTGTTTTCACTCCTGGACTCTTTCCTATAAACTGATATTTTACTTTGATATTTACAGGAATTTGAAAGTGATTATGTTGTGTTTAAATCCAAAACTTTGGATTTTGACAGAAGGCTTGGGACAATTCTTTGCGAAGGTTTCTTTAACTGCAATGGTTTGGAGGCCGCATTTAAGGTTGGTCCTGAAGAAGCTATCATAATAATAATTTACTAATGAATAATTTAGACTGCTAGATGAAAGGATTGAGTGCATTCCTTTCTGATCCAGGTAAACTGTTAACTAGTCACAGTCTTCATATTCAGCTCACTGAATTATGAGCTTTGCTTTATGCACTACGGAATAATGAAGTTTATTTTGGACAAGGTCAGGACGTTTAACTATTGATCTTTTTTTGCATTCAGTGTTTTGGGTGTTAACGCCTTGAGAGCAAGTTTAGCATGGCCTATGAAATAGCGATTCAAAATTAAGCCACAGTGAAAAGTGAAAACTATCTGTTAATTCTGTTAAATCAAGAGTTCTTCCCCCCCCATTTTTACATATGTTGGGTACACCTGCCTACTTTATTGCTCAGACTAAAACGAATAGCAGCTTATATACTGTCTTTCATCAGGTTTAAGACACGATTATCAGATACACGATTATTTTGTGTATCAATAAAGAAAAATGTCAAAAAAATTATGCCATTGATTATTAACATGGTCCAATTTCAGAGATGTTAAAACATGAGAGAGCGTTAGTGATAGACCTGATGAAACATGGTATGTATGTATTCAGAGTTGCATGAAAGAAAGGCACTTTGATAGTCCTCCCAAAGGGAAGGTTTACTGTAGGAACTAGGGGCGTCCTGTGGAAATGTGCTTGTCAACGAAGAGAATTACAAGCCAAGTACAAACTCAGATGATATTGCAAAAGAGGCTTCAACACCAGGAGAAGCATAGCTGGAGAATCATGGGTACAGTTCGCTGACAGTGGCAGTGCAGTGCAGTGTAACAGACACAGACGTAATACAAGATTTGTTTGATTTTGACCCTCAGATTCAGGTGAATTGGTCAAATGGTGGTGAAACAGTGTCTTCTGGCCCCCGAAAAGCATTTTAACATAAATTCACAGGGATCAAATACTTCTTTGTTGTTTTGTTGTTGTTTTTCAGAGCTCTGGGATGAAACAGAGATGCCACTGGCCAAAATATATAGCCTGTTATAAAATAAAACCCCCTGTAATCCCATCTCTCAGAAAGACTGATAGATTTAATACAGTCACACTCTTTCTTGGACTAGATATGCATACATATTTCCCTTTGACAAAAATGGCATTTTCTGACCCCCTTTGGTAACCTTTTCCACTTAGCAATGAATCATAAATGTTTTCTTGCTTTTATAACCAAATTCAGCAATATTTTTTATTAATGGCTACATAGTAGTTGATTACATTCTCTGCTCCTGGAGCTCCTTGCCGGTGTGTTTGTATAACTGGGAGAAAGATGCAGAGGGAAGTCTTAATTACCAAGGCTCCTACCTTTTCTAATTCGGGTCTTTCTTTTCCCTTCTCACAACCATTAATATGGATTCCGTTCTAGTGTGTGCCAGCTGTTTTTTCTAAATAGTTTTATCTGATTGCCATGTATCTTTATTTAACTTTCCCCTATTTGTGCCCTGTCTACTGAAACATATACGATGAGCCCCCGCCTCCACGCTGTGCGGGGGGTGGGGGGGGCGGGGGACATGGTCTTACAGTTTGGGCTGCATTTAGATAACCTGCGATGCCCTGTGTGAAGCAAACACTGAACAACTGCTTGAAGTGAGGTGGGCTGACAGAATCAGAGTGTTGAAATGACACACTGCTGGGGAACTGCAGGGGGAGAAGAACAAGATGATAGGGCTGTGCATTTAGGGAGAAGATTTCTACCATTGGTGTGGGATGATGAACTCTGACCCTTTGCTGTTGCGTCCCAGGGAGAAGATACTTGCAGACTGGTCTCTGAAGGCCATGATTCAGTGCCTGCTCTTGGCAGAGACGTGGCCAGGAGGGCCCTGGAACCAAACACTGGTCTCCTCTAGTTCAAAGCCGACAGTGTTGGTGCTCACCACAAAACAAAACAAAATACTAATGGATGTTTCTCTAAAATTTACAGTGTGTGTACATGAAGGTAGACTGAAGTATGTAAGAAAATGAAGGTGTCTAGAAAAAGGTGTCAGACAATGTAATTGAAAACTATAAAATTGCGATGGTTTTAAAAAAATAGTTCAGGTAGCAGCAGATTAAAAAAATCTTTGAGGGCCCTAGCTGGTTTTGCTCAGTGGATAGCGCATCGGCCTGCGGAGTGAAGGGTCCCAGGTTTGATTCTGGTCAAAGGCACATGCCTGGGTTGTGGGCTTGATTCCCAGTAGGGGGCATGCAGGAGGCAGCCAATCAATGATTCTCTCTCATCATTGATGTTTCCCTCTCTCCCTTCCTCTCAAATCAATTTTTGAGGGGCAAACATAGGAAAATATGAGTATGTACCACTTGACCAGTGGCAGCAGCATTGGGAAAGCCACATTACACAGTGAAGCTAAGAAGTAGAAGGAAATCACAGAACTCAAGCGGGGTATTTAGGGGAAAGAAGCATGGAGTTGAGGCCCATCTTTAGCCCCTGAGGGTGACAGGAAGGCACGCATCTGCACTCTTCGTGAAATAGCTTAGTTCCCCCGACAAGGAGGCTCACATGACCTTCATGCTCATCCTGGAGGGTAATTATTATATATCTACGATACTGAAAAGATAGGATCCTGTAGGATCCTGTCTGCTGCCTAAAAGGTTGACTCTTTTTTTACGACTACTCTCTGGCTTTAAACCTTCCCCTAAACCTGTGGGTCACGACCCCTTTGGGGGTCGAACGACCCTTTCACAGAGGTCGCCTAAGACCATCAGAAAACACATATATAATTACATATTGTTTTTGTGATTAATCACTATGCTTTAATTATGTTCAGTTTGTAACAATGAAAATACATCGTGCATATCAGGTATTTACATGACGATTCATAACAGTAGCAAAATTACAGTTAGGAAGTAGCAACGAACATGAGGAACTGTATTAAAGGGTCGCGGCATGAGGAAGGTGGAGAACCACTGCCCTAAAGGATATTCTGTCTCTGGTACTTGTGTACTTGGAGTGAAGTCCCCCTTAGCACCTCGGGTAGGCAAGATGCGACGTAGCAGGCGAGCTGCTGGTATTGTTTCAGCTGCAGTCGATGGGATGAGTGTTTGAAAGGGATTGTTATCAAATGTTTCCTTCCCGTTGGAGTGCATTTCTTGGTTAAATCTATGAGACAGCGTTTACTTTTGGATTTAAACACGAAGTCCAAACTCAACAAAACTGATTGTGAAGAGACAGTAACTTACATTTTGCTAGGTAGCAGCTAACGAAGCAGATTCTTAAATATTTAGCGGTTTCTATAGTAGTTATAATTAGCATCACCAGGAAAAAAGCCAGAATGTGTTTGGCTTCTAAGATACAATTAGATTTGCATTTTAGTTTGTATAGCTTTTCACTGTGTTGAGTTTTTCCCAGTGAATGTAGTTTATCGAAATGTTTACAAAATGTTAAATACGTACAATGAAGGTATTTTTTTAAAGAAAACAAATTTGGGGGAACACCTGTTGTTTCCCTAAGAGGAAAAATAGCTCTTTTGCCACATCACTAACAAGGCACAAACCTTGGTTTTGTACAGCGTTCTGCCTTGTTGATGATATTTAGTTATTTTGAGAAGATCCCTTCTTTTATTTCAAAGAAAACATCTCTATAACAGGCCTAATAATTTACATTTCATGAAGCCTATGCAGAGCAAGCCAATAATAAAAGAATGGTTTTAAATGCCCCCTTGGCTCTGAGAAGCCCAGGGAAGCACAGGCCGGGCTGCAGGCTGCCCAGGGTCAAGTGCCAGCGGCTTCTGAATTCAGGCAGGTCACTCCCTCCTATAACTCAGTTTCTTGATCTGGAACATGTGACAGTAGCATTCTTTGTTGTTGTTGTTCTCACCTGAGGGTATTTTTTTCATTGATTTTTAGAGAGTGGGAGGAAGGGGGAGAGACAGAAGGAGAGAAACATCAATGTGAAAGAGAAATATTGATTGGTAGCCTCCTGCACATGCCCTGACCAGGGGCGGGTATCAAGCCTGCAACCTAGGTACATACCTTTAGTCAGAATTGATCCGCAACCCTTCAGTCCTCAGGCTGACGTTCTAACCACTTAGCAAAACCAGCTAGGGCAACAATAGCATTTTTAAAGCCATCAATGTGAAAGAGAAACATCAATTGGTAGCCTCCTGTATGTGCCCTGATCAGGGATGTAACCTGCAGCCTTTCTGGTGAATGGGATGACACTCCAACCAACCAACCAAGTCACCTACCAGGGCAAGTTTCAGATTTGGAGGTATTGCAGAATACTTATAGGGTTCTAGGTTTTTGCTCTATCTCTAGTTGTGTAAGAGCTGTAAGGGGAGAAATAGTGAGTTGAGTATTTGTATTAAAAACCCATAGTTCTTAACTATTCTTTAACTTTGATGTTTTTAGCTTTTGACCATATTTGGGAATTTTCTAGAGAAACCAGTTGTCATGGAAATTTTCAGCCCACATTACAGCTCACTGGTGCACATGTTTAATGCCGAGTTGGATATGTGTAAGCAACTGTATAATGAACATGTGAAACAGGTAAGTGAGGGAGGAAGTGGGGCAGTACACAGCATCATATTTGTAGGTCAGGGCTGTCTACTAAGACTTTACATAATGATGTCTGCTTTATTTAGTTGGGTTTCTTATGGCAATGAAGAACCTGTTTTAGGACCATTACTTGTCTACTTATCAAGTCACTTAATACATATCTATAATAATAAAAGGGTGATATGCTAATTGGACCAGACGTCCTTCCGGACGTCTTTCCTGAAGAAGCCAGGGCCAGAGGGAAGCCAGCCCGGGTCCCAGGTGCCTGCGGGCGGCCCGAGGGAAGCATGGGTCCCAGGTGCCAGAGGAGGGAAGCTGAGGTCCTGGGTGCCTCTGGCGGCAGGAGGAGGGAAGCCAAGGTCCCAGGTGCTGGAGGAAAGCTGGTGCCAGCAGCTGGTGGAAGGAAGACCTACTCTTGCACAAATTTTCATGCATCAGGCCTCTAGTATTTATATATTTGCCCTGTAAAAGTGCCAAAATGAATAATTGCTTACAAGGTTGGAATGCATTCTGATTAAATGTCCCCTCCCTTCCTTTTCACCAAAATAACAATTTGCAGATTGAATGTGGAAATGTGGTTCTTCACAAGAACATGCCATTTACCTCAGGAAACATCAAGTGGGCTAAAGAGGTCCTGGACCGACTCCAGGCGTTTTGGTCAAACTTCGCATCTCTCCACTATCTGTGAGTATTTCACGGTGAAAATCACCCTCATGATACAGGTGATTTCCTACAGGGCAGGAGCTGTTCATTTTAGCTGTTCATTTCCTTTAACTCTTTCCATTGGCAGGGCTCAGGGAGAGGATTCATCCCCATGGTTTTGGACTATGTTTAATGGGACTTATAACTTCACATAGTTCCATGTTTTCAATCCTTATCCTTTTCACTTTTCCTTTTCACCCAAAATATGTTTGTAGTTTTTTGTTACTGTTTTTCTTTTTTTTTTCAATCACTACTAACATTCCTTTTATTTTGTGGACTTCTGTACCTTTCTCTTTTCTTTGTAGGAATTGGTACCTTGTTGCTATTGGCAAAAACCTTGGAGTTCCATTCATTTCATGACTATATCTTTTAAGGCAAAGACAATTATAGCATTATTTGGCCTTTATTGTTTCTCTTCCTGATTTTTTTGTGGTGTGTTTTGTTATGTTTTGTATTGTATATTATTGTAAAGTAGTTAAGCTGAAATCTATCTAAGATATAGAATCATTTTCCTACAGATTCTTAGAAAGTCCTGATGATGCCTCAGTTCACCAGAAGTATGTTGAAATGACAGCTCTGCTAGACCAATTTGAAAATCGTATCTATAATGAATGGAAAAATAACGTGGATGAAATCTGTGAATTCAATTTGAATCAACCCTTGATTAAATTCAGTGCCATAAATGGTCTTCTCAGCGTCAACTTTGACCCAAAGGTAGGGGTTTGATGTTTTAAAGATGTTTAACAGAAGTGATTTTTATTGTAAGCATATTCCTGACACTTCCAGTCATTTATATTTTGTGAGAATGTCAGTGCTATGAGGAATATAACTAAAAACATTTTGTACTAGGTCTTTGTTTTAGGATTGTTTCCCAAATTCTATATTTACCCCTCTCTATTTTGCCTCATAAGTATTCATTTACCATTTTCACCTTTGCTTGGTAAGTTACTTGAGAATAGGGTACATTTCATTTTATCTTTGTGTTCTGTGTTTCTAACATAATGTCTGGCACTTGGTAATACTTAATAAATGTTAACTCATCTGAATAGAATCATTAGTCTTTTATCATGTTTTCTGGCTTGAATTATATTCATAGTACATATGAAAGTAGCTTTAATTAAAATTTTATCATGTAAGTTAAGATTTGGGGAATCCAGAGATTGTATGGAATGAAAGACCGTTAATCATACTGTGGATGGACAATGGTAAATTTTGGTGTCATAATATCCTTCAAAGAAACAATAAACTTGAATATGTTAGTTAAATTGATGATAATTTTTATAAAGACAAGTTTCAAAAAATGTAAAACAACATATAAATGCCAAAAATAATATTGACAGTTAAATAACATCCAGGAAAATTACCCTTATTGAACAGATCTTTTCCCCATGAAAAACCGCAAACAAAAAGAAATTTCATGTTTTCTCACATCATTAACATGTTAAAGTACGGGTGCTTCAGTAGCAATTATATATGTGTTTATATGTCTATGTTTACACATAATGACTATCTGTGCATATATATGGTAATACAGTGCATATATTTTAAACAACCTATCTCCAAGTCTGATAGCTTGGGAGTCACAAAGGAAGCTTTTTTTTTCTGTTTGTCTATGTGAATATGCTCTACAGGAAAGGACAAGCATATAAGAATATCCATTTCTGAGTTGCTGTTACAAAAAAAGACTAGTGACACATCTGGCTGAATTTTTAGATAGTGAAGATTATATATTCACTTTTAGCTATTGCCCTATTTTTCATGGCTGCTCAAATGTATGAGAAAGTTAGCCTCCATGAGTTTGTTATAATCTGTACCCAATTCCTGATCTGTTTCCCTAAAATATTACAGTGAATACCATCACTTAATTTTGTTTGTAAACCTCAGCACACAGACACAAATATATGCCCTGAGGATTCCCTCTACCTCTGATTCCATAAAACCAGTATGTAGAAATGAAATTCCTGAGGTGTTTTAGGGATAATGCCTATAATTCTCCCTGAAAGGATTCCAAACACACAAAATATAGATTATAAACACAAAGTATATTGTACTAGTTAACATAGGGAGGGACAACCTAAGGTAGTCAACTGGTTTACCTTCTTAAGCATGTTTTATGGGTTTTTCCTCAGATTCTGATTTATTTTTATTTTTCTAAGATACATTTTTATTGATGTCAGAGAGGAAGGGGGAGGGAGAGATTGAGAGAGAAACATCAATGGTGAGAGAGAATCATTGATTGGCTGTCTCTTGCATATCCCCCACTGGGGTTCGAGCCTGCAGCCTGGGCATGGGAATCAAACCGTAACCTCTGGTTTTATAGATTGAAGCTCAACCACTGAGCCATGCCAGTCGGGCAGAACCTGTGATTTAGAGGTACAGCCACTTCTGCCACATGACATATGCATTCTGAAAAATCACTGGATTATGAAAGACTGCACAATCAACAGTACAGGACTTATGGGGGGAAAGGGGTTATGGGTGCAGGACTCAAACTTTGTCAGTGATACATTAAGAAATTACTAGTAGTCACCTAGAGAAAACAGTAGTACAGTTTTACACATTTTAAATAGTTAAGTAATACATGCATACTACAATAAATATGACACTTTCCCTTGACAAAGACCTGAAGTTTGCTTATGGAAGTGGGTGGGGGAAGGGTTACAACTTGTGTGTTATTGTAAAATGGAAAGACGGTTATCAGAAATCAGGTGGAAAGTCGTACCACCAGAATGTTTGGCGTGTGAACTGAGCTACCTGGTGGATGTTTGAGGTGTGTTCATATGGACATTTTGTATATTCCTACGCTTTTCAGTTCAGTTGGGTGCTGTTTGTAGCATTTTCCTAGTGTTTCTTGCTGATTAAACTGCAGATTAGCAAAGACAAAATGTGTGGAATGCTCAGATTTCTCCCTAGTATATTAATCCTGTTGGAACAAATATGTGTTTCTGAAATAAGCATTCTAGCAGAACTGAAGGTATGGGAATGGTCCGAGGTCCACTGGTGGCCTCCCATTGTAGCTCTGGGTGTGCACGTGTCACTGTCATGTCTTGAATCTTGGACAACGGGCCATCATCACTGATTTCCAACTTCATTATTTATACTCCTATGGAATGTGTGATTGTTGCTTTGAACAAGCATATGCAACAAAGGCCTCCTAACCTTGACAATTTGAAAATACAATTATTGGATGAAAATGTACATGTTTTGATTTTGACTTGTGTTAAAAATAGAACGATATGCAATAAATGCAATAATCATTGATGTTCTTTCAATAGCTGGTGGCAGTCTTGAGGGAAGTGAAATACCTCTTGATGCTGAGGAAGTCAGACATTCCAGATTCAGCCTTAGCCATCTTCGAAAAAAGAAACACTATTTTAAAGGTTTGTCTTTTTACATATTGAACAGAGGCGTTTTGAGTGTTAATTATTGACATGGAGACCTGTGATACTTTTATGCATCCAAGGTGGACAGAGGAGCCTTAACATACTTGGGGTTTTCTTTGCTCAGTACATTGGCAACCTTGAGCTTCTGGTGCAAGCGTATAACAAGCTGAAGCAGACTCTCCTGGAAGTCGAATACCCTCTGATCGAAGACGAGCTGAGGGCTGTGGACGAGCAGCTGCAAGCAGCCGCGGCATCGCTGACGTGGCAGGATGACTGCTGGGGGTACATCGCGAGGGTGACAGAGGCCACCGCCGAGCTGGAGCGCAGAGTCGAGCGCACGCAGAGCAACGTGAGAGCCATCCAGCAAACCATGAGGGCGTGGGCCGAGTGCACGCTGCTCCCCAGGAGAGAGCACCGGAGGGAGGCCGCCCTCATGTTGGAGGACAAGGGGGATTTGTTCTCCAGGAAGTACAGGCTCATCCAGGAGGACGGCTGCAGGATACACAGCTTGGTGGAGGTAATGGCTTTTCAGGAGAGCTTTTCATGAGGTGTAGAAGAAGAGCAAAGATATTTACCTAATGACGCAGAACTCCTGTGCGCCCTGAAAGAGCTTCGTGTATTGCTTTGTGAAGCATTTAACGTGGAGGAGCTCATTACTGACCTGTCATTTCTGTAGGTCTCACTATTCTCTTTCCTGAGGGAAGAGATTGGAATGTGAGAGAGCTGATAAAACAGAAAGGAGAGAGATGGTACCCTCTTCTTTGTCATAGTTCCAGCCTCTTTTGGATGCTGTTCGTAGCCACCGTGATTTGATGAGTACCCACAGGTGCCAGCAGCACCTCATTTAATGCTCTCAACCGTCTCGGACGGATGGCCACTATGAGAACTTTGGTTTTTACTCTGAGGGGAACTAGCCGCAGAGACTCTGCTCAAAGGTTTTCCCTGTTAAGTGTGAACCTCAGGGGAACAAGGAGATGGCAGACAGGGAGACCATTAGGAGGTTATTCTATCATCCAGGTGAGAGATGACCATGGCTGGGGCAGGGTGGTTACTGATGGCAGCACTCAATGCCGAATGGATTTCGGAGGTGGAGCCAACAGGATTCACTGTGACAAGTCAGAGGAGAGAGAAGTCCAGGGTGACTTCAGGTTTTCGGTCGGAGCAACTGGAAGAATGGACTTTGTTGCTCCGAGGAGGACTGTGGTGGAGCAGATTTTGTAGGGAAAAAGCAGGATTTGGTTTGGGGCGCATTAGACCTCCTGCCCAAGAGGAGATTTTGAGTAGGTTGGCATTGCAAACGGGAGTCCGGAGTTCAGGGAGAAGTTCAGGCAGGTGACATAGAATCAAGAGTCATGAGCACATATATGATACGGAAGGCCAAGGACTTGGGTGAGATAGGGTAGGAGTTAAATGTAGGTAGAGAAGAGGTACATGGACTGGCCCTGAAGTCCTCCCTGAGTGATTCACCCCTTCTCCCCTTATCAGTAAATGGCTTGGAGCCTGGTGCTCAGACTTCCGGTGAAGAATGTGGTTTGGAGGAAAGCTGTGGAAATAGGGCAGAAAGTGAGTCAATTCTGCCTTTTTGTGCTGCATCCTTAGTGGCTTGTGGGATCTCAATGGGTAGGTCGTCAGAGTTTAAGATGAAGGGGAAAGGGTGGAATCATGGAAGATTAGGTCTGGAAGGGACCTGAGCGATTATTTAGTGACCCAAAGTTTTCCTTTCTCTTCTCTGTTCCCCCTGTGCTCCAAATTGTTGAAAATAGAACACTTTTCATAAATGTTACTGCAGTGATACAAACTGGATCTCTTGGTAGAGAAAGTATAATCAATGAGACACATGCAGGTGTGTTACTGTGATATATCCGAAAGAGTCCCTCTCATTGGCAATCAAGAGGGATGGTTTCTAGTCCTCGACCAGCAGCCAGCTTCCTGCTGCTGTGGGTTCGATCCCTGTTTAGGGCACATATAAGAATCAACCAATGAATGCATAACTAAGTGGAACAACAAATCTCTCTCTCTTCCAAATCAATGAATTAAAGATATAAATAAAATGAAGAGTCTGAATAAGATGGTCTTTAAGGATTTTTTTGTTAGCTCTGAGCTCTATACTCTTCTTTCAAGTATCTACAAAGGAGTTAGGGCTGCTGTGTCCGGCACAGCTCCCTGGCTACAGGTCACGTAATACTACACAGATGTAGACGGTTCCACATGGATAATGGGCAAGAGAATATCCCTGAAAGGGCAGTTCTTAAATGTGTTTGCACGCAAGAAACCCTGGAGCTTGCTCATTTCTTCCCTGTTTTATCAGGAGCTAGACTCACCTCTGCAGTTCAGATTTTTACATGTAGCACACACCTTTGAATTCTGAATCATATAGCAAATAGTCAAAGTAGAGAGCACAGTGCACCTTATAATGAGCTCTCATTCCAATGTCTCCTTTGCTCTGGGCTACTGTTTCTGGCTTGGGCATCTGCCTGCTGCCCTGTATACACTATGCAGCCTTTGCATCTCAGAAGGTGTCTCTGGAATCAACCTTGCTGCCCACCTGACCTTTCACATCTATGTCCCTAGGTCTGCCCCACTGCATGCCCAACCTCCAGCAGTCCTTGACCACATTCGTGTCTGGCCCTGTTGTGCCCATTGACCATCCATAACTTCACCCACACTCTTGGGAGATGCTGAAGAGATGGAAGAACTTCATATTGTGGAAGCATGAAGGGAGTTTAGACTTCACCAGGCCAGTGTTTCCCAAGCTAGGTTACTGTTCCACAGACTGCTCACAGGGGGCTCACAAGACATATTCTTTGTCTGGAAATGGGTTAAACCAAGTTAAATAGACTTTACTATAATAGGTGCACTGTGAGTCTCCAAGAATGGCCAAGAGTACATAACACCTGGCTGGCTTTGTGAATTTTGGATATCCCAGGACAGTGTTCTCTGAAGGACTACTTTGGGAAACCTCTTTATCTACCAGCAAGTTGCTGGAAGGCAAAGTTCAAGGCCACATAGAGTTAGGGACAGAGCAAGACGGAAAGCCCAGGTCAAATACATCTAGAATGCACTGGGAACTCGTGTATTTCTTGTCTGTATGTGAAGATAGCAATCTTCATAATGATTTTTCCTTGAAAGAACGACTTTTGAACGTATATTTTAAATGAACTAAATGTCAAAAAATCCTGCTTGGATCTTTACCATCTAGCTTAAGGCTCTGCAACCTAGCATTTGAGTACTCCTTCTCTCACAAACCACTTACATGGAATGCTTTCATTTTTATACTCACAAGTGCTTACAGTCATGCATCAATACTTTATGTTTCTAGGAAAATAGGAAGCTCTTCAAGGCCAATCCTTCTCTGGACACCTGGAAGATTTATGTGGAATTCATTGATGACATCGTGGTGGAAGGCTTTTTTCAAGCTATAATGCATGACTTGGACTTCTTTCTGATGAATACGGAGAAGCAGTTGAAACCTGCACCATTTTTTCAAGCACAAATGATCTTAATGCCCCCAGAGATTCTGTTTAAACCTTCTTTAGAAAGAGAGGCTGGGGATGGCTTCTATGACCTGGTGGAAGAAATGCTGTGTAATAGTTTCAGGATGTCTGCCCAGATGAAGCGAGTAGCAGCACACCTGGAAATAGCAAATTACCAGGTATCTTCTTGGTAGATGGGTGTTGGTTTTTACACTAATGACTTAAAATAAGCCGGGGTAATGGAAAGCACAGGAAAGGAGAAGTTGGAAAAGGCAACGTCATTTTTTATTTTACCAACTACTCTCCCTTTGCAGAATTGCCTTGGCTAATGTTATGTTGCACGTAATTGATAGAGCAAGATTGGTTTTAATAAGTGCTCAGTTTTCCTCTCATTTAGAATGACATGGATAACATGTTAGGCCTGGCGGAGGTCAGGCAGGAGATAATGAACCGAGTGGCAGGCGTCATCAGCAAAGTCTTGGACTTCAGAAATTCCCTGGACACGTACGCCTACCTCTGGGTGGATGACCGGGCTGAGTTTATGAAGCAATTTCTCCTGTATGGCCAGACTGTGTCAGCCGAGGAATTGGATGCTCATGCAAATGAAGAGATCCCTGAACAACCACCAACCCTGGAACAATTCAGGGAACAGGCAAGGGAACCTTTTAGCTTTGAGTGTGCTTCTTGGCTTTTGATTGAGTTGTTAGAGTTATTTTTCTTTTCTAATTACAGATCGACGTGTATGAGGCTCTGTATGTTCAGATGAGCAAGTTTGATGACTTCCGAGTGTTTGATAGTTGGTTCAAGGTGGACATGAAGCCTTTCAAAGTGAGCTTGCTGAACATCATTAAGAAATGGAGCTGGATGTTTCAGGAGCATCTTTTGAGATTTGTCATTGACAGGTAGCCTTTTGTGCTTTGGTATTTGGAATTATATCTTAACACCTGACGGCTTCCTAAAATTCAGATATTAATTTTAAGAGCATTGAAACTGCCAGTTTTATAATAGAGCAAACAAGTAATGTTTAATTAGGTAAATAATGAAAATAACAGTCCGAAGTCTTACACTTCGAAATGTCTTCACGAGCTTAATTGGTGTTTGCGTGTGGATACATATATGTGCATATGTGTTTAATAGTCTGAATGAGCTACAAGAATTTATAAAGGAGACAGATGGCGGGCTCCAGAGAGAATTAAGTGAAGGCGATCACGATGGCCTCATTGACATCATGGGGCACCTTCTGGCTGTGAGAAGCCGACAGAGAGCGACTGATGAACTCTTTGAGCCGCTGAAAGAAACCATCACGCTCTTGGAAACCTATGGCCAGAAGATGCCTGAGCAAGTCTACATTCAGCTCGAGGTAAGTGTGGTGGTAAAATAATCATCATCAATCGAGCATCTCCTTTGGCCAAGTTCTTTACCTGTACTTTTCCTTACGACATCCTCATAATAACCTGTATTACAGAGATTCATGTTTTCATTTTACAGGCCAGGAATCTGAAGCTGAAAGGGACTTGATAACTTTTCCTAGGTCACACAGGTAGTAGAGCTAGCCACTACTCCCTCTTCACTGCTCCGCTCCGCTGCCTTCTTGTTAGAAGGGACTTAGGTGATAGAGAGCCTCTAAGTTCCTCTTTTGAGGACCATGTTAGCCATCAGTTTCACACATGAAATATATTCCAGCTCTCTTTCATTTAAAACTCTCAGTTGAGAAGTGTCCTAGACTTTGGAAAAATGTCATGGACTCATTAATAAAATAAAGAAAGCCCAGTTTGGATGGAGACATCACTGTGTTTCCAAAACAGGATTTCGCTGTCATCCTCCCGTTTCCATGCTCTGCAGAGACCTGGTGCCAAATGATGAACACAGTCTTTTTAGTTGTAACTGAACCTGTGAATAAAGATCTCACAGTGGAGGCCAGTAGTTCGGTTGGTTAGTGTGTCGTCCCAATAGGCCAAGGTTGCAGGTTCCATCCCTGATCAGGGCACATACAAGAACTAACCAATGAATGCATAAATGAGTGGAACAACAAATTGATGTGTCTGTCTGTCTCTCTCTCTCTCTCTCTCTCTCTCTCTCTCTCTATCTATCTACCTCTCTCTTTCCCTCTCCCTCCCTTCCTCTCTCTCTCTCTCAAAGAAAGTGGGCTACACTTTTAGATATGTGTGCGCTTCTGTGTCAGTAATTCAGGCTGGTCAGGAGGAAATACAAGATTGGTAGGTAGAACAAGTTGCACTCAGAATTTAGCAGTGCCCCAATTTTATTTTAATTAAAGCAACTTGCAGATTATAAAGCAATTGAAGTCAAAGAGCATGTCTTGTCTTTGTTGCACTCCTGCCCCACACAGATACAATTGATACCTAGCACAGTGTACCCTCCATAATTGGCGGTCACGGGCTCATTCATCAAACATTTACCCAGGGTTACAAAATCGTCTTTGGAACCTCGGATTTGTGCCCTCAGCTGCACAAATAAAGTCCCATTGCTATGGGTGATTTTGTCTGACAAAACAAGTTCCGTGTCCCAGGAGATGACCCAGAGAAATAATGCTTTATTAGTCTGGACACCAGGAATGCTTCTCAACCACAATTATGCACGTTGGCTCTTCACAGAAAAGAACTTCCTGCTGTCCTCTGCTCTGAAGTCAGGGAGGGCACAGTTGAGTTGCTACCTGAACTGTTTATTGCTTCTTTTGTCCTACATCCAGTAGGAATTAACCTTCCTTTTCTTCTTACTTTAAAAACCCTAGTAATTGAAAATTAACCTAACCTAAACGCTCAAACTCTCCATCCAGACGGTACACACAGAGTCTCAGGAGCTGGAGAAAAGTGGAGGGTGAGGTTGAGTCACATTTTATTGCTGCCCTGCCAGATTCAAAGCATTTAAAAAATATTTTTTTCTTGATTTCAGAGAGGAAGGGAGAGGGAGAGAGAGATTCATGGATTGGCTGCCTCCTGCATGCCCCTTACTGGGGATGGAGCCCATCACCAGGGCCTGTGCCCTGACTGGGAGTCAAACCGTGACCTCCCGGTTCATAGGTCTATGCTCAACCCTTGAGCCACGCCAGCAGTTGTCTTTATCCGTTAAATTGCTAAACATGGCTCCGTTTTTAGTTGTTAGAGATCAGCAAAGTCATTTCCAGAGCACTTTAATTTTATTCCCTCAGCAGCAAAAACAGTTTTAAAATTTGCATTTACTTTGACACGATTTTCATTTATTCTGAGATAAATCTTACACCAAGGGACAACGCGGATTTGTGCCGGGAAGAGACGGATCCTGGGTGCCCATGAGTCAAGTCTGAACAGGAGTCTGGCTCTGAGCCTTTCAGTCACTTTCATCTTTTTTGAGATACACTCCTCTTATTCCAGAATGAAACGGTGTTATGGGTTAGTGTCGGGATTAGAATTATTTAACCCTGTGAGGTTGATTTGTTTTAGGCATTGAGGTCATCTCCCGTTTGCCACCTGTGTTTTTGTAGGAATTACCAGAAAGATGGGAAACCACCAAAAAGATTGCAGCAACGGTCCGACACGAAGTTTCACCTCTCCAGAATGCGGAAGTCACACTTATAAGGAAAAAATGTATTTTGTTTGATGTAAGCGAGCTGCCAAGTTTTTTGTTTTGTTTTTTAAAAGAGAGGTTTTTTCAAGGATTATTGAGGCTGTTTGTTTGAGATTCACTTTCTCCTTTTCCTGCCCTGATCAGGGGAAGCAGGCCGAGTTCAGAGAGAGATTCAAACTCTACGCTCCTTTCGGTTTTCATGCAGAAAATCCATACACAGTGCTTGATAAGGTAATGCCGGTCTCCCTTACCTTACGTGTGTTGCAGTAGCTGCTTTGGAAAATAAGTGTAGACACCGAGCTACTGCTATATTTTGCCTTAGTTTTGCAATTAGTTATAGGAGTTGAGAATTAACTATTTAAAACAGTTTGCCCCAAGTAAATTATATTGCTTTAACTCATGTCTCTCAAAGCCACTATCATCATCAAAGTAATCCTACTAGTGAAAGTAAGCACTTACTGTATACATGTCAAGAACTTTGCTAAGCATATTACATTGTTTTTTTTTTCAGTTCTTGCCATTTCCCTCTGATGGGGCTTCTATTATGATTAGCGGATATTTGGTACAGTTCAAAACATCCAGGAGACATTTGGTCCAGACAAAAAGGTCCTTAAAATCTGGCCCTGGCCCGGATGTGCCCAGTTAATATAAATCCTGCTCTTCTGCAAGATTCGAACCCTGACCCTTCTACCTGACCCCATGTGCCTGGGGCAGCTCGGCTACCAAGGCAAGGAGCGCTATCCTGGGCGGTGTAGCCACAGCACAATTATTGGACCTACAAATCATGATAGCATTTTTTAATGTATTCATACTGCAAACCAAAAGTATAAACAAACATTATAGGCTCTGTGGATCCAGGGCCACTTCCTAAGGAACATTTTCTAAGCTGGATGGTTTTGACAGGACCAAATATCAAGGACCCTTTGGCGCAAACCAAATGTCCTGCAAGGTCTGTTATTCTTTTATTTCCAGATAAAAAAATCAAGTATAATTAACTTGTTGGAGATTATATAGTTAAGTAAGTGATACAACTCGTATCAAAATTCTAGCTAATTTTTTTAAAAAAAATTAAATTTTAGTCATTACACTATTTCCCATGTGAATTTTGCCAGTAAATAACTCCCTAATTTATAATGAACTGCTTTATTATGGTTGACTATAAGAATGAATAAAATGGGTCAATAATCCAAAATGGTGAGTTATTCATCTGAGGCTTGAAAACATGTTTTAAACTTTTATTAGAAAAATATTATCTTTTGATTCTCTACAAATTTTTTTTAAAGTTTTTTATTGTTTAAAGTATTACATGAGTCTCCTTTCCCCCCCATTGACCTCTCCCTGGCCACACCTGCCCCCCAGCACATGCCCTCACCCCCCTACTGTCTGTGTCCATTGGTTATGCTCATGTGCATGCATACAAGTTCTTTGGTTGATCTCTTACCCCCCAAGCTCCCCGCCTTCCATAGGTTAGACCAGGGGTGGGCAAACTTTTTGACTCGAGGGCCACAATGGGTTCTTAAACTAGACCAGAGGGCCGGAACAAAAGCATGGATGGAGTGTTTGTGTGAACTAATATAAATTTAAAGTAAACATCATTACATAAAAGGGTATGGTCTTTTTTTTTTTAGTTTTATTCATTTCAAATGGGCCGGATTCGGCCCGCAGGCCGTAGTTTGCCCACGGGTGGGTTAGACAGTCTGTTCGATGCTTCTATGACTCCGGTTCTATTTTTGTTCATCAGTTTATGTTGTTCATTATATTCCATAAATGAGTGAGATCATGTGATATTTATCTTTCTCTGACTGGCTTATTTCACTTAACATAATGCTCTCCAGGTCCATCCATGCGGTTGCAAATGGTAAAAATTCCTTCTTTTTTATAGCGGCATAGTATTCTATTGTGTAGATGTACCACAGTTTTCTTATCCACTTATCTGCTGATGGGCACTTAGGCTGTTTCCAAATCTTAGCTATGGTGAATTGTGCCGCTATGAACATAGGCGTGCATATATCCTTTCTGATTGGTGTTTCTGTTTTCTTGGGAGATATTCCTAGAAGTGGGATTACTGGGTCAAATGGAAGTTCCATTTTTAATTTTTTGAGGAAAACGCCATCTTTACAAATTCTTAATCACATAGCTAAAATGAGAAGGTGACTGTGACATTTAGGTTTAGGATCTGGGCAGCTTTCTTTTTTAAAATTTTTTTAATTGATTGATTTTAAAGAGAGAGACAGAGACACAGAGAAAGACAACAGTTTGTTTTTCCACTTGTTTATGCATTCATTGGTTGATTCTTGTATGTGCCCTGACAGGGGAATTGAACCCACAACCTTTGTGTGTTCGATTGATGACACTCTCACCAACTGAGCTGCCGGCCAGGGCAGGAGCTGGGCACCTTTCCGAGTCCTTCCTCTCGGCTGCCATTCTGATTCCACTTCATTCACTCCTGAGACTGGTGGGAAACTTGCAGCTCACAGCTGTTACTGCTCTCTCCAAACTTTGGGTTGAATTTCATTTTAACTGCTGTAAACACAGTCGGAAAACACCATTCTGTAGCATAAGGTCTTCTCTTTCACTTGGCTGGAGAAAAGTGGTTAATGTAGTTGCTGAATATATTCATAGAGTTGTGGTTTTTGAAACAATTATATCTAAATTTCAGGTGGTTTGCGCAGATTGTGGGTGGGGAGACATTTTTATTTGACTAACCAATGTGCTGTGTGTAAACACTACAGTTATTTATTGCAGCCTACCATTTGCATGCTATACTGTAACAGCATGTAGTTACATACCTAAATGTCAGAGATATTTATCCTTGTACCTACAGAATGTGTTGAGGGATGTTTTGAATAAGTAGGGCTGCATTATGTTTACCTTGAAGTCATTTTCTTGTGTGTTTGTCCAGTGTTTACATCTAACGATTATCTAACTGGATTCAACCAAAGGTATGTGTATGCTTTGTTCTGGGCTGGTTGGTAGACCCTAGTATTGAAGGCACCTCACCCTGCCAGAAGTCCTTAGGTATTCATTCAGTATTCATTCATCATACAAGCTCTTGGAAGACATTTTTAACCCATTAAAGGACAACAAAAACTCTACGCAATACATTTCACACAGGAGAAGTGAAAATTGCCAGTTGCATTAATGCTAATGGTGAAATACAGAAAAGCCCCATATGTCCATCAGAAGTAGAATAAATTAAATCAGGGAAATATTAAATAAAAATTTGGTGGTTATGCTTGTAGTGGGAACAAGAGGGATAAAATTGATAAGGCCGTTACATGTTATTAGGAACATAGTATTTCCTAAGCTGGATGGTATATATGCTCACATGCACACCCTTTTACATGTATGGCATTTTTCATAATAAAACTAAGAGACTTGCGGTGCTTGTTTCTAAAGGTATAACTTTACACATGAAGTATATAACGTGCATAATGAAAGAATATTAGGGTACTGATACTCTTATTTACATAGTAGGAACTTAAGAGACAGAGTTGAAAGTTGACGAACCACAAAAGGATTGAGCATGGGCATTTAAAATTTAAAAAGTACGTCAAAAGAACGGAAGCAATGTAATGGTTGCATATTGAGAGGAGGATGGGCAAAACTATGAAGTGGGACTTAACAAAGTCAAACCCTGCTTTGCAAAGCCCGTAACTTAGGGTACTGTGAAAATTCGAGCAATTGGGAAGGAACAGCTTGTGACAGAACTGGGAGTTCGCGCACCCAGAAGACCTGGGGAACGAACTTGGCTTTCCAGCTTTTCCCGCATTGCAAGCTCTTCTGCACTCCTTGTACTTGTACTGAGCACATTTACCCCTCCCCTAATAAAATGAAAATTAAGAGTTGGCTTATTAAGACAGAAAAAAGTGAATCAGCTTACATTTGGTATAAAACATAAACTATTCTCCACAGACGGGAGGGTAGGTGCCCTTGGTGGACATAGCCATACAGTGAAATGTCTCCTACTGTGTTGTGGTTTTATTTCACAAACTCTCTTCGGTACATTTTGTACTATTGCTAATCTCTAGGATTTTTTTTTCAACCTGAAAGTTGTTTTTTAAAAAAGTGATTTATTCTTAAGTGGAAGCCACTAGAGCCTCATCTTTTGCTGCTCAGCAGAGTCCCCAGCTGTACAATGAAAAAAAACCAAGAGGAAAAATGGTGTCTGTAGATACCTGATGCCAGAGCAGATTTTGCTGAAATCTGAAGGGAGACTATTGATAAGGCTATTGTGTTTATTAATAGTCTGCTCTCACCTTTGGAGTCGCTGTGACTTCGCTCTTCTAAAGCCTCCTACTTTACCACTGACTGTACTGCAGATCTTTTAAAAAATGGAAGTTAATATTGTTGTCACCAGAGCCATAGAACTGTGCAGGGTTCTCTTCTCTACAGCATTTCGTTGGATGTTAAGGGTGTTTGTGTGCATGTGTGTTTTCTCCGTAGGCAAACCAAGAGCTTGAGGCATTAGAAGAAGAAATGTTACAGATGCAAGAATCGACGCGTCTTTTTGAAGTGGTTCTCCCAGAGTACAAGCCCATGAAGCAGTGTCGCAGGGAAATAAAACTGCTCAAGGGACTCTGGGATGTCATTGCGTACGTGAAAGTAAGGCGCTGCCTGTTGAAAGCATGCTTCTTTCTTTTCGTAGTTCTTTTGTATAAATATGCAACCTTTTGAGTCTATATCATTGTACTTGGGTTTTATGTCTTGTAATATGTAGAGATTATATTACCCCCCAGAATTAGAGTTCATACATCTGTGATAGGAGAAGATCCTTCTCTGAATATCAGTTGTTTGTTTTTAGTTCTGAAGGAATGTGTGTAAGGAGTTGATGGCATCAAGTCCTTTTGGGGGGATTATGTAGGATAAAAGTTAATATATAAATACATATTACACATAAATGGTAACCTGTTCATACGAACTCATGTGTATGCCCATGCCTATGCTTATGTGTATGTGCACATATAAATCAACCCAACTAAAAACAAAGTTAATTTGTATATGGTTAATTAAGTTACAAACTTAAATGTAAAAATAAATTGTAGGGAACTAGGAATGTTGTAACATGCATTATACATAATTCTCCTTGAAGTTAGTTGGAAGCCATATAGAAATATATCTACAAAACATAGGATATAGTCAAGAATTTAATGAAAGTTTTATCTATTATTTTATTTTAAAATATATTTTCATTCATTTCAGAGAGGAAGGGAGAGGGAGAGAGAGATAGAAACATCAATGATGAGAGAGAATCATTGATCAGTTGCCTCCCACACACCCCACACTGGGGATGGAGCCCGAAACCCATGTATATGCCCTGACCGGGAATTGAACCGTGTCCTCCTGGTTCATAGGTCAAAGCTCAACCACTGAGCCATGCTGGCTGGGCTTAATGAAAGTTTTCTTTATAATGGACTGTGATTCTTACGAAAGCTGATTTTATGTTATATGTAGAATAATAAAAACCTGGTATGTTTAATGGTCATATACTTACCCAGTTCATTCAGACTACTCAGGATGAAATGATCATGATGGTGTGTGCATGGAATTTGTCATTGCTCCTAGAAATTAATATATCATAATGTTTTAGCTTTAAGTTTGACATGTTCTGACAACTGTTTTATTTTGGTGGTAGGAAGTTGTGACAAGTGCAGTTAACACTTAAATAATTGACTTCCACTGGATGGTAGAGGCACTGTGTATCGTCAGTTTATATATTTTGCTGTGGAGACTTGCTTTCACCAAATGTTGTTGACACTTTTATCTGCTCATGCGTTTTCAGAGAAGCATTGATAATTGGACCAAAACCCAGTGGAGGCAGATTAATGTGGAACAGATGGATGTAGAGCTCAGAAGGTTTGCCAAGGCAAGTTCCATAACTGTCGGGTATGACGATTTATCTTCCTCTGCACCACCTCCTTCCATCTTCCCTGACCGGGTAGCTGGTGTGCTAGGCTGCGTGTCCTTATTTACTTCACACAGGATGATCGGAGACAGTATTTCTCCCCCCCTCAGCCAGTTGCACTTTTAATCAAGCCTGCCTATCTGAGAACGAGTGGAAAAAGCATATTAAGGCTAATGAAGTTATGAGTAGCCACTGTAATCATGCGTTTCCTAAAACCGTCTAGAAGGGAGAGTGTTAAGATGAAGAGTACTAGGGCTCAGAGGTTAGGCTTATAAAAGCTCAGAGGTTAGGCTTATAAAAGCGTTTGAATTCTTTTCTTAGCAACCATGAGCACTTTGTATCTTTAAAAAATGCCTTTTGGTTCTAGAACTTGGGTGACGGATTGGAGTGTGCCTCTTGGGGATCTATGTGGGACTCTGATCTCTGTAGAATGGTTATTCCAGGGTCCCCAGGTGGCTCCCTGTATACAGGACTGAGCTTCTTTGAATTTAGTGTTTTGATACCCAGTCCCCGTAGCCATGTGCCCTTGAAGAGAGGAGGACCTCTTTGGATAAAGCCAACATGCACAGCAGGGAAAGGCAGTTAAAAGTGGCAAGGGTGTTCTCCCCCCCAGGATGTCCTCACCTTGACTCAGTCCTGTGCTCAGCTCCTACCAGCGCTTCCCAGGTTTTCTCTTGGGTTATCCTGGTCCCCAGGACCCTACCTGAACTGCCCCATCACTTTTTGAATGTCATGGCGTCCCTCTGTCATTATTGTGCTCACTCTCTGTATCCTCTGCTGCCATGTCACTCACTTCAGAGTGGCAGCGTAACCCCCACTTGCAGCTGAAGCTCCTTTATTTTCTTTTAAAATGGCATTGTCCTTTTTTTCACGCTGAGATGTTGTTTTGTTTTTTAAAAAAATATATATTTTATTGATTTTTTACAGAGAGGAATGGAGAGGGTTAGAGAGTTAGAAACATCGATGAGAGAGAAACATCGATCAGCTGCCTCCTGCACACTCCCCACTGGGGATGTGCCCGCAACCAAGGTACATGCCCTTGACTGGAATCGAACCTGGGACCCTTGAGTCTGCAGGCTGACGCTCTATCCACTGAGCCAAACCGGCCAGGGCCTGAGATGGTTTTTTGATGGGTTTTCTCATTCACAATTGTGAATGTTGTTCCATGGGCCAAGAAGACAGCCAAGTCAAGGGCCCTATTCGACACATCTTCAAGTCATGAAATAGGTGCGGTCCAAGGAACCAAGCCTCAAAGGGATTAACATTTCCAGGCTACCGTTCAAACGAGGAAGGTCTTGGCAATCTAGATAAGTCTCAGTGTTCCGATGATTTGTGTTTCTAGAGGAAATACTCTTCGTTGCACGTCCTGTAAACACCATTTCCCTGCATTCAGTGTCCCACGGGCCATTTACTTAGAACCTGTGAGTAAGGAAACCAGTGTGTCCCAGGGGGCTGGTACGTAGTGGACTTATGGTCCACTATATGAATGAGTGGATCCTTTTCTGTTTCTCTGGGATTAGTCCTTAGCCTAGGGGCTTAAATGCTTTTACTCTCTTTCCTAATCCCAGGAAAATGTACATTTATTCTTTCAATGAAGGCAGACTATAAAATGTATTGTTATATCTGGGGACTTTGTTGTTGTTGTTGCTTTTCTTTAGGAAATCTGGTCACTAGACAAGGAAGTCCGAATCTGGGATGCATACACCGGCCTGGAAGGCATGGTGAAGGACATGGCAACCTCCCTGAGAGCCGTCACGGAGTTACAGAGCCCCGCCCTCCGAGACAGGCACTGGCACCAGCTCATGAAGGCCATTGGGGTCAGTTTCCCGAGTCTCGTTAATGGAATATTTTTGTGATTGTGAAGTGTTATTCCTTGGTTTACATTATTCATCTGGGATGAAGTGGGATTTGTGAACAGGTTCTGGTCACATGGGAGAGGTTAAGCTCCTTGAGATGGGAGGGACAGACTGAACATGCACAGATTCTAGTTTTAGCCCTGTGCTGTGGACTAAATGCACCCCTGGAGAATTCATATGCCGAACTCTAAATTCCCGGGGTGATGACATTTGAGGTGAGGCCTTTGGGAGGTAATTAGGTCCTGAAGGTGGAGCCCTAGTGAATGGGATTATGGGATTAGTGCCCTTATAAGGGCATAAAAGGCCAGAGCTTTCTATTCTTTGCCGTGTGAGGAGAAGGCAGATATCCCTAAGCAAGCAGAGGGCCTTTGCCAAGCACCTGACCATGCTGGTGCCTGACCTGGGACTTCCTGCCTCTAGAACAGTGAGAAATGAATGTTTGTCATTTAAGCCATCTAACCTGTGGTATTCTATTATAGCAGCCCAGACTGACTAAGACACCCCACTTTTATCTCTTACTGGCTGTGTGACTGCAAACAAGACACATAACCTCTCTATTTTGAATTTTGCTTTTTATTACTAAAATGAGAGGAATGCTGTCTGTTCTCACACGAGAGGAGTTTGTCAGCATCCAGTAAGAGAATGTGAAGGCATTTGATAGAGCACAGCGTAGCTGCAAAGACTCTGACTGGTTTTGGAGAGGATCAGAGGGCATAGAAATGAATTTGGCTGAGCCCCTCGACCCAGGAACCAGGGAATGCTGACATTGTGATTGTTTCCACCCAGTTCATTTAGTAACCATGTCTTCTTTGATAGTGTGTTGATTTTATTGCAAAATATAAAATGATTTCTCTTGTATCCGTGCCACTTGAGGCTATATTTTCTTATCTTCCTGCATCTTTTAAGAGCAAACACACCAATCTTACACTTAGTTTTTAGGGAAGGGGATCTTAATGAATGTACAATATATGAAAGGCAGTCTAGTATGTTTTTTTTTCTCTCTGGGCAGATCTAGACCTTCAGGGACTCATTGTGGTGAAAGGCTGTGGGGATCTGAAGGCTGAGTTTGCAGTTTCCCACTCATGGAAACTAGGCTTTGTCATTGCAACCCTCACTCTTAGTAACTCTGGGATCCTGGGCAACTGACCTGCTCTCCAGACCTTAATTGTCTCTTCTATGAAGTGGAAATACTGCAAATGCTTCCCCATGGAGAATTGGTGACACATTGGAGATGAGACCCAGTATATAGCAAGTGCTCAATAAATGATCCCTAAAGCTATAATTATTAGAGTTTTTTAGACATTGGATATTTAGACCTTGTAATTTGATTGATTGATTGATTGATTCAGAAAAATCCTTGTTGAGTCTCCCAATATGTAGTCAACTGGGTGTCCCTCTCCCCCCTCACATTCCTCCAATGACATTTCTTCTCACCACAGTCGCTTGCCTGTATCACGCCTTTCCGCATGCTAGACAAATGCACTGTCCCAGGCAGACAATTTAGAAAAAGGCGCCTCCCGCCAGGGCATCAGGGCAGTGGCCAAATTCCCTCCCCTTGTCGCCTGGGCTGGGGGTTCCTGTTTAATGCACAAACTGCGTGACCCATTCCACACCCCTGCTCTTTCCTTCTCCCAAGACCTGGGTCCCTGGGCCCTTCAGCTGTGGAGTGAGACCAGAAGTGATGCATTGATAGGGTGACCAGCTCATCTGTTTTGCCCAGGATTTTCCAGGTTTTGGCACCAAAAGTCCCACATTCCGGGAACCCCCTCAGTCATGGGCAAACAGGGATGCTTAGTCATTCTGTGCAGAGAGGTGGATGGTGACAGGGCGTGTGACAGGGTGGGGAGGGCTAGAGAGGGGTGCAGCTTCTCAGAAGCAAGGCTGGATGTTCTGAGCAGGAAAGGAAATAGTTTTCCTGTAACCATGTGGCTGGATCCGCTCTGCATTTGCAAGGGACATGGATGACTTAGGACATTTAGGAAGAGCTGAGAGCTTAGCAAATACTGGGGTGAGTGGGTGGAGTCAACAAGATGATAAAGAAATGCGTTCATTGCATTTTCACATGGTAAATATTACTGACACTGTGCGTGGAAATATTTTATTCTCCCAGGGAACTGTGATTAAATTAGTGATAAAATGAGGTTAAATTACGGAAGCAACTGGGAATTATGCTCGGTGAATAGAGTGCTTTAGGAGGAAAAGACAAATGAGCTATTACCTGATTCCTGGGATTTCAACCAAGTTATAATAAATGAACATAGTGATTCTCTTTAAAAAATGGGTTTTGTGGGAAAAGGAGATAAGAAGCCAGCTGACAGGGGAAGGCTGTGGAACAGAAGGAAGTGGTGTAGTGTGAATGTGGCCTGAACCTCGGCCCCGCTTCTGGCGGGCGATGCCTTAGTAACTGGGAGTTCAAAAGCAATGCCTTTGATGGTCCACAACTTTCAGAACCAGAGGTGTGCTCAGCAGCTGACTTGAGTATATTTAGCTCTGATTCATCCCTCTGGTCACGAGGTGAAAGGAACCATTAATATACGTGGAATATAAATGCTGCCCTTTTCTCTTCTTCTTAAGGTCACGTTTTCAATAAGCGAAGCCACAACTCTGGCAGACTTGTTAGCCCTGCGGTTACACCAAGTGGAAGACGCTGTCCGGAGCATCGTGGACAAAGCAGTGAAAGAACTGGGGACGGAGAAGGTGGGGTCCTCGGGGCTGTTTCTTTTCACACTGGGCTCACTCTGCACGTTGGCCGTCAGACGACTCGGGGAGAAGTCCGTGCCGTGGTTGTGTGGAGACAGGAGTCCCAGCTTGTCCCTCGCTGCTAGTTAGTGTGTGACTTGGGCGGGAGATGGAATTATTCCAAGACCAGAGGGTTGGCCCAGTTGATAATGATGATACCACAAAAACACGTATCATTTACTTCCGGAAAGAGGTCTTCTTCTTCTTACTTGACAGATGAGGAAACTGAGGCAGAGAGAGGTAGTTAACTTACCCAGGTTCACACACTCAGGCACTCTGAGCAACACCTGTCTCAGGCTGGCTGATTTGTAGGTCAGATCCATCAAACCTCCAGAGGGCCTTTCAAGGCCCTTTCTGCTCTAGGATTCCATTTCAGTGAAGGATTAAAAATCAGATTCAAGAGAAACTTGATATTGGTGTGGTGCTTATTCTTTTTTGTGATGGGATTTCTTTTCTAAACCTCATCAGCATGTATTATTTGAAAGAATAAAAATCGAGGCCAGTAATATTTGGTATCAGTCCCTCTGTTTTTTTAAAAAAAGTATGTTAAGCATGTAAAATATTCACG